GACTGCGAAATTGTGTAACTTTCTTCCCATTTCCGTGTTTCCCAGCTCTTATAACCTTACCTTTTTCAAAAGCAGGATTAACAAATTGGTTCTTACTTTAATGTTCCCCATACACCTCCCCCTTACATTATATCACTGATTATGGGGTGTACCCCTTTTGCTGTAAATTACTTCGTGTGTAATAAAAAGATCTCGGTTACGCCGTCGATGCACAACTTTAGGATCTAAATGACCGCAGTTATAAGAGTTCTCATTTAATCCTTTATTACCACAGACATCAACATTGGTGTATAGACCCTTTAAAGTCACCCATTTTCTGTTGAAATCGAAAATGATTACGACTTATCAAAAACAATTTTTCACCTGAAATTGTGCATCTAAAACATCTGTAAGCAGGATGACTAAATTCCACTGATTTCACAACTGTACCAAATTCAAGCGGGACGCTCCAGTCTATCCCAATGGGACAGTTTATCGCGTGCAGTCAAAGTATACCAGCGTGGGTTGATCCCTTACTTACCCATTGAGCAATATCCATTCGGGTCGAACCGTAACGACGAAAATCCAACTGCCGAGATTTGGCATCCTCGCTCCATCCGGTTTCCGATTTGGATCGATCAAATGGGAGTGTGACAATATACGGCTCCCTGGGACCCAATAGAATACGCAAACAGTCCAAATCCTTTTTGAACATTTCCTCTTTCACGGAGTCAATTGTTTTTCCACTCGAATCTTCGGGACAAAAGGCGGATGGAATAGATTCGTGAGAAAATGAATGATATCTTATAGAACGATATTTATGGTATCAGTATGCTCAAACTACATGTGAACAATGTAATTCAATTGGGAAAATATTAGAGACAACGATCGAAATCAAACTTAGGGCACATGCACCAGCATAAGATTAAAAACCTAACCTCCAAATGCGTGTCCAGCGATCGCACGAGCAGATGGTTCGGCTGCAACAAGACACGACCCTTTCCTGGCTAACCTACACTGTGTCCACAACCGCGAGTCCAGTGAGCCGCGACTGGGCACAGCAGGAAGGCCATCATCATATGACTGGATTACAAGTGTCAGTAAGAGCATCATAAACATTACGAACTGGTGATCAGACAGTCACGTGTCAGGTTGAAGGATTCCCTGTTGCACAAATCGTGGAAAATGATCCAACCAGATCGTGGATGGGGTTAGAAAGAATTTAACTGTTTCAGGTCACGGGTGGCAGCGACCACACGATGTGAAACGATGGAGCATTGGCACTGTCTATCTATGGTGTCCACTTTATCAGCTGAGTTACGAGGCCACAGTTGTATTTTGTTCGATTCTCTAAGCGGTTCGGGCGACGTCTGTGCAAGGGTTCAAATCCCAGTAAGAATCTCCATCTTCACACAACTAGTTTACGCGCGAACCATAAACATTCCATCTTACAACGAAAA